AAAAAAAAAAAAAAACACCATGTTTTTTTTTGGTGTGTGGAGTAACTTTTGAATAATAAGGCAAAAAAAATTGCTTCAACTCAATAGCTGCATCCATAAGGAATAATGACAGTGATGTTCCAATGTCAGTGTTCCTTTCTGTAATAATAAGCATACAGTGCGGTATGACTACACACACAAAGATATCGGGTGTTGACTGTATTAACATGGAACTTTATTTTAGTAATGTGGGTTTTTTTATTATTATTTTTTATTTTATTTCTGCAGCTTGGAAAGTCTCTAAGCTATTCTGATTTCAGAATCCCCCTCCTCAGTAATCAGAGAGAAAGCTTTCAGGTATGTTTTTGTGTTGTTTTTGTTTTTAACTAATTTCTTGTTTCTTAAGCAGCATTCACTATTCTGAACTTCACATGGCTTCTCCAGCTGAGAACTTGGACACTATTCCTGATCAATCTTTGTCCTTTGATCAGTGCAGATTCTGAGATTCATGGTTAAATCCTGTACATGAAATCAGGGCTAAGATCAACTCCTAGGACCACGTATTGCTCCTCATTTCCTGATTTCCTTGCTCCAATAAATGTCCTCTTTCACTTATTTATTTTTCCTTAGATTTCCTGTTCACATCTCATCGACAAGCAGATCTTCTCTTTGTATTTTTTTGCCACATGTGCTGTATTTCTGGTCAGGAAATCCAGTACTCCCAAGATTTGTTCACGCTTCCCTTTCCTGACAATTTTCCTGGCTATCTTTTGTACCATTCTTTTGGTGCTTCCTTACTGGTCACTTGCTGGTGTTTTTACTAGCTCAGGCAGCAGTGCTAATTGCAGCACCTGCTCCAGAGTTACGCAGATATACCATATGATTTTTCCCCCGCAATTTCCTTTTTTAAACCTTTGCATATTAGATGATTGTCTTTGTATGTGTGCAGTCTATTGTACAGATAATGATCTGAATGTGAGTGCTTTTCCATATAGCCTTTACAAGGGCTTTTACACTTCCTCCAGGCCTCTGTATCCTTGGGTAGAGACACACCCATCTATCTGCCATTACATTCCTTTCCAGATGACATGTCTATTCAAGGCAAGGCTCTGACAACGTCCTTCATGGCGACATCTAAGTTAATTAGACCACTTTCAGAAGACAGGATTGCATTTTGTAAGTATATACCATCTGTTTTAAGCTTAAGCAGTATTTATTACCACTAGAACTTTCTTCTTTAGCAAGGTAGTGTTTACTAGTGTTTCAGCTGTATTTTTTACTCAACATTAAGATTAGCTGCTACCGTATGACTTGGTGGGGACTAAAGCTTTTTCATCCACTAGTCTGAAAGTGATTAAATATGTAAGTACAAACTATCTTAGCATTGTTGTTATTATTCTTATTTTAGAAACAAGTAACTTCCTTCTTTTGGCACAGATAGGATATGACCACCAGCACTTAAAGGAAATGATTCAATAGACTCAGGTCCTTGGGAGACAATGGCATTTTGCTGGGTGTGGGATTAAGTGATAAAGGAACAAAAATGATGTAGAAAGCTTCCTTATCATTACTTCTTTCTTCTAATTACATTATCATGCACTGTAAAAATAAGAGCATAACATTATCTCAATTACATGTGCTGTTCAACTGTTTTTGAATTGTACAGACATTTTCTCATACAACTGGAGGGTTTATAACAGTCCAGTACTTTTGGTATACCCTATTTGTAGTACATCTTCTAGCACCAAATTCTATCTATACTTAAGTGCAAAGCCAAGCATGCAGATGAGAAAAGTAGGTGCGCTTCCAAATGTACAATTAGATGGGCACCTAGTGGTTTAAAGGAAAAATGCCATGTTGTCATTTTTAATCTAGATATTTTTTTTTTTTTCTTCCCAAGAAAGCTAGCACTGATGAACATGCACAGATGATGTCTATTAGAAAGATTTCAGGATTCCCTTGAAAAATCTAATGGTTCCTATTAACTGAGTAACAACCAGGGAAAGCATTCACACTTCCTGCCTTCTGCTTTGGTATGTGCTGCAGAAAAGACTTTCAGTGGTCACTGACTTGAATTTGCTCACATATAACTTAACAAAGCTCAGCCATATGTAAAATGAAAGTTTTTATTTCTCCAAAATAAATAATGGAGAACAAGGAATAAAATGTAACAGTAAACACTGTACACATTTTGCTATACAAAGGTACATGTGTTTTAATGCACCTATTTACACTTTCAAAACATCGTGCTATTTGTCACGCTAATTAATAGTTTATATTTGCTTTTGTGAGAATTGCTTATTGTTTAATATCCATATTTTTACGTTACATTCCTGGTAGTACTTTCAAGTTAGTCTATTTTTCAAGGGACCTCTGAAACTAAGGTAGGCTTATGTAAATGTATTTTGTTTTTTAACAAAGTGATTAGTGCCTACAATTCTATTTTCATTCATGTACATTTCACAGCTATTTATTTCTAATGTAGCTAGCAGCTTTTAGACTTTGGCTGGCACCTCAGAATGTATGCAAAGCATATCCTGTGCAGCCAACTTTGATGTTGTTTATTTAATACACAGACCTGCTATATATTACCAAGTTTCACCAGAACAGCTATGTCAGCATGTCTCCCCTCCAGCCAACATCTCCAGGCCAGTCAAACCTCAAATGTAGACACAGTCTGCTAACTAGAAAAGAACTTACGTCAGCTCAGTTCATGTCTTGTAAATTGATGTACTGTCAGGAGCAAGAAGGCTTTGTGAGCGTCTACAGATGACTGCACAGACACTCATTTCAGAAACAGCTGCACTAAGCAGAAAAATTGCACCGATGTTTGTGTCTCAAAGGTTGCCCTCCTTACAGCAAAGCCTAGGGAACGGGACACACCAACACTGCTCATTCACACCAGTACAGAGTCAGTCAAACATTTGAATAGTTTGCAGCAGTGATCTGGAAAAGCCTGCAATGTCTAGCTTGTAAGCAGCTAAAGACCTATCAAACCACGCTGGAGATAGAGCTGCGTGTTTCAGCTCTGTTGCTCCATTCCCAAGAGTGTGGAATAAAGTACACAGGCATACCATCAGTTTGTCTCAGGTGGCTTAAAATGGTAATGAAATTGAGCTTTGCAAGCACAACTCACTTTGTGCTTAAATTAAATAGGAAAAAAAAAGTGGGAATTGTGGTAATTTACATTTATCTTGGAAAAGAAAAAAATCAGCAGCAGTATTGAAAACAATATTGAAACCAATTGTGCTGCAATATACCAGACCCTGACCACAAAGCAAACGTGGAGTGACAGCAGACTTCCTTCCCCTTATTTAGATAACTAAGAAAGAACATGGTTTTACCCATGGAGTTTCACCAATCTCTTCCTAATCTTGTACTTCCTTTCCTATACTCTATGCATTGTTACATTACAAAGTCACAGTATAGGAAATAGGTGTTCTCGTATAAACTAGAACCAAAACAGAATCACATTCATACCTTTGGGCTCATACATGTACGTGTTTATCAATAGCAATATACTTAGATCTAATATGTTTGAATATTACGTTCAAAAGATAATTTTAAGGTGAACTCTTAAGAGTTCAAAGCATTTTCTGTTAAATGAGAATCCTAGACCTAATCCAAAATTCGGATACTGGTGTGTGTGTGTAAATCTGAACTGCGTACCTGTTTCAATTAAAAAAACTTTCCCCGTAGAATTCAAGAAACATCAAATTAATCAGAAAGCCAGATGAAGGGTGAAAGAATATTCAGTACATTAAGAGCTTGAAGGAATGTGTGACAGGGACAAGCAGAAGTACGAGAAGTAAAACTTGTAAGGGAGTCTGAATGTGCCTTAGAATCAATTAAAACTCGGGTCAGTGTACTTTATAAAATGGATTGCAGTCATACACAGCTCATTCTAAAGGATATAAACAACAGGAGGAAGAAAAGCACAGCTTTGTGAGTGCTTAAAGGAATATAAATGTTTACTCAGCACTTAAAGGAATATAAATGTTTACAACACTGAACAAACCGTGTCATCCTGAGTGTAAAGAACTTAATGCTCTTTGCTAAATGTTTTAACAAATTGATTAGCAAGCTCAAAGGAAACAAGATGCCAACCAGTGAATTTGGAAAATGCAAAGTGAAATACAGCGGCGTCTTGAGACCATGAACAATTGTTAATGAAAGACAAATACTGAAAATGATTGTACAGTGAACTCCTCCACAGTGAATTACAAAGTTAAACTTTCTGCCCCCTGCTGTTTAAACCAGGTATTTCTGCACTTCTACAGTCGCACAAGTGCAGATGAAAGCAACGTTCCTGCAAAGCATCGTTCTCCCCACATACAAACCTGCGTGGGAGCGCGTTACTGAGGGCTGAGTCCAACTCTGCTTTTCAGGAAACTATCTTATGCTTCCAACACTTGGACTTTTAGTTCTTTTATGCACTTAGAAGTCTGCACCAACACGATATTCACCTGAATTTAGTAGTCCATCAAAAAAAAAGCAAGGATCCACTTGCCAACTGCTTACATCATAAAGCCAAAAGTTACTAGAAGTACAAAGGAAAGGGAGTTGGGACAAAATTATTACTTTTTAAGAAAAAACATTCAAAATGTTCTGTAGTAAGGTTAATAGTTAATAGCTTCTGTACTTAATAGGCTTCTAAAATGAAATAATGTGTTCCACTTTCTCACAGGATACTCAGAATTTAATATTTGTGAATTCCTTCAATGTTAAAACACACCACCATCTGCAAAACAAATCCAGTCAGTCACTTTCTTCGAAGTGATGTAACTTCTTGAGAGGTAATCTGCAATATTTTTTTTTGTTATAAATAAAACATCTATTCCAGATTTTCAAAAGGCTCTTAAAAAAAGGCTTCAAATTTAACTTTCTCCTTAGATAATGTAGAAATAAAAGGGGAAAAAAACTATAAAATAAGTAGGGTTAAAAGTAGTAACAGTGAAAGGAGACATAAAAAGCTTCCAGGACGTGTATCTAAAACTTGTATATTTACTGCCATGAACAAAGACTGTGGCTATACTGAGGAGAGGTAGAATAAAGAGAAAATACTGATCTACATATAGACTGGTTTTATATTTATCCTGAAAATACACCAATTACATCAGAACAAACAAAACCCAAGAAATCAGAAGTTGTAACTTTTGAGCACATCTGATTACCACATGCTGTACGAGAGGGAAAAAAAATCAACATACGTAGATGGCAATTGAAACACTTTTCTATGGGGAAGGAAGTCACACTGAAGACATGCTACATGAAACAATTAAACACTTAGAGAATAAGCAACTCCAAATTTGAGAAAACAGACTTTTTTTGTGAAGTGGTAGTTACTTGTTGATTGAAGCACTTTTGCCATGCAAGTAGTATTTTTCCCAAGTTCTAAACAGAGAGAAAATGATGCATTTGTAAATTAGTACAGAAATGTACGGTGTCACTGCAAAAGTCACTGCCAGAACCTGAATGTGAAGGTTCTCATCTGTTTATTCTCTCCAATAGAATTTAAGGCATTTATTATGTGCTCTCACTAGTGACAGTGAAACACTAACTAGTAAAACTTCTTACCTTTGTCACAAGAGACATGAAATACTGCACATAAATACAACTGAAAAGTGTCTTTTAGCATAACCTTTTGAGGACAACCTTCTTAAATACAGAAAGCCTTTATTTACTCTGCAGTACTTAGCTTGTCTTCAGTGATACCCAAATAGGGTGAAAAAAGCCCAACCCAAGCTGCTGTATCACAAGACAAAGATCTGATTTACCACAAGTTAACTGTTTTCTTAACAGGCCTAGTAGCCAATAGTTTTCAACTGTTCAGATCACCTTTACCTGTAGAAGTAATCAGCACGCTAACTTACACTTAGGCCACAAGACCTTCTGTAGGAACTGCTATGTGTAGAAATGCCTGCCTAGTAGGGCTTACAGATAGCTTTGTTAAAATTGAAGCCTTCTGTTAAATAAGATGACCTGAGTTATTCTCATGTGCAGGTCTCACCACAAAGCTGGGAACTAAGTTTTCATAACATGCTGCATTGCTGCTTTGTGAAAACATTTCCAATACAATTAACAATAAGCAGCTGTTGGGAGAAGTGAACAGCAGAAGCTCTGTAGCACCTAGCCTCTGAGTTGGCTGGATCCCTTGGACAGGAAGGCAGTAGTCCCACAGGTACACCTGCACTTCTACACGTACAAGAGTCTGAATGGAAGAAACGTTCCTGTAAAGTATCATTCTCACAAGTGTAGGTATTGAATAGGTTTTTATTTTTATTTCAAAACAGAGGCAGAAACAGAAAAATCTGCTTAATAAACATAAAAACGTGCACAATCTCCTATAATATTGACACAGCTTTACTTATGTAGAACGTAGAAAAGCTCTTAAAGTAGAACCATAGTAATTTAGAGCTAAAGGAAGTCTCAGTATGGCATACTGATTTCCTACATACGTAAGTAAAGTAAAAGCAATTACCCATCTTGTATCAGGCAGGTGTGTAAAGTTAGCACCAGAAAATGTTCAGCCTGTAATTACTGACTCAAGATCCTGGCCAGAAAAGCATTACTTTCAGATTAACATCTGATCCAGATGTTTATTTTTCTTTACATGTGTTAGTGAACACTGAGTGCCTAGCACAAGTCTTGAATGAATTCTATTTCATGTTTCGTGCTATTCTCCTACAATGGTTTGTCTTCATTTCCCCCAGGGCTTGTTCCAATTGCTGAATGAGGTGGAGGAGGGTAGAAGGGTCTGTTTGTAACACCTGGGTAGTTAGATCTTCGTTCTCATTAAGATGTAGCTTCATAGTCACCGCAGGCTTAATTTGCTGCCTCAGACTTCTGCTTGCAAGCTGCATGAGGGTTTAAAGGAAATTAAAATAGGGAAACAAGCAACAACCAAGGAGGGAAGATAGTTGGGAACTTTCACAGTTCCCACATCAATAGTTCACAACAGGTTTGCAGGACCTGCTTGCAGGCCTGTTTAAAGAAATAAACACATCATCTTCATTGACATTAAACAGAGTCTATTAATAATTTTTATCATTAGGCAATACCCATCCATTTTAATTAATGCATTCAAAAGATTTATGAAAATTAGCTGAAAATAAAGACCTGGATTTATTTAGTATATGCTAACTTTATAAAGCACTGATAGAGCTATGAATTCATTTTTCATAAAGGAACAAATACTTTGCACATCCTGTTCACCTTGCAACTAGTTCAGTACAATAACAAAACTATGTCCATTTGAAATACATGAAAATGCTGCAATTTGTATTACTCTGAAATAATATAAACTCATATCTTTATAGTTGCTCATGTTATTAAAAAATATAATGCAAAATACAGAGTACCAATAAAAAAAAAAAAGAGATTACCTGCACATCTAGTCTCCACTCAAGGCTATGATAGCTGGGAAGCTTCGGTGCCAGCTCACCAAGAATGCTTCTGATCTCCTTCCTGTTATCAAGGTAAAGCTGAAGCAGTAATTTGTTCAATTCATCTGGGAATCCCAAAACATGAATGGAATCTTGGAAGTCCATTTCAGAAATCTGGAAATTAACAATTTAGGCCTTACTACAGAGCTATGCAATAATCATTATTACTTTCTCAACAACAGAACTGTGAGTAAGCACCATACATATTGTGCAGTGCAGTTACTTTACTGCAGGGATACACAGAGATGAGTCTACAGCTCGAAGAAAACAGATAGCACATTTTTAAGTATTTGAGAGCAAAATACAACAGCAAAAAAAGCATCTGAAGTTTGCAATAATTAAGTACATTTCTAGACAATCAACTTAGCAACAGTATGTAGTATTGATACTGAAGTTACAAATACTCTGAAATGGACTGAATATCTTGTACACATAAGAAGGCACCAGGTGCAACTTCAAAGCCCCATATGAACACAAAATAGCCCTTCGAAGTCGATCTTCTCAGGTCAATGACTGTGCTGAGCTGGAAGAGCTCAGTTCATCACTGCTGAAATAGCAATTTAATTTACAGAGTCATGCATTACAGTGCATACATATAGTAAGAATTCTGTGATTAACTATGCTTTGCCATAACAGCACTGCAATTTATCTGTCAGTCAAGGTACTTTACTTCAAGGCAACACGCTACACTAATTCATTTTCCTCTCTACCTGCTCTTTAGAACATCTGCTTAGCTTAGAATTATTTGTCTATGGATCACTTTTCTCTTTCTCTAGTGTACAAACAGTCCGCCACACCAATAAGAAGTCTATCTAATGGAGTTATCATCCAGCTATAATTCTCTTACTATCTGCTCGCGCTCACCCTGAATTTCTGATGTCAGCATTTGAAAAAGCTCTCGGGCAACACAAGGGGAATACTTACTCTGGGTTAGCACAACGTGCAGAAAAAGCAGCTCTGCTGAAGTTGTGTTATTTGGACAGAGCTTAATCCTGAAGCACCCTTCCTTATACAGGCTGAAGTGTTGGGTGTTTTTGTGATGCGCTATCAGTGTTATGCTTTGGTATCAGGGATGCTGCATACAAATCCTAAGCCTATCCACACTGAAGCAGTGTTTTAATAAGAATACAGCAAAATACACCTCTTTCATTTAAATAAACAAAAATCCATCTCATCAAAACTTGGACTTTTCCTTTTTCATCAGTGTTTTTATAACTCCTATTGCTCAGCAGACATCCCTGAATTCACCACGTAAGGTGTTCTCACCATGAGCTTGGAGCTTTCAGTAAGAAGGTACATCAGTCCCTCCACCCCATGCTGCACGGTATCAACACCAGCGTTGAGTTTTCCTTTAAAGAAAGCAGAATTCCTTTTAGGTCCTTGCAAAGCTGCCAACCGTAACACACACAGCTGCGTATTTACTCAAAGCTAGAGGAGTACGCATAGAAAAAAAGTGAAGATTGAACGCCTCGCAAACAGTAATGAGAGCAACCCAAAGGCGAGCTGAAGGCGCCTAACAATTAAAACACAAACCCAATGCAAACGCAACCGGTTACAGCACAGCGCCTGGGTCACAGCACGCTCCGCAGCGCGGTCTGCGAGCAGAGCCCAACGAGGGCTCCATGATCCGGGCGCCACCCGTCACCCTCCGCGCGTCCCGCAGCCGCGGTAACGGCGCGGTAACGGCGCGGTAACGGCGCGGTAATGGCGCGGTAATGGCGCGGCAGTGCCCCGCCCCGCCACTTACTGGCAGCCGCTTCACAGGCTTTGGGTGCCGCGCCGCGCCGCAGCAGCTCCACCGCCAGGTGCCCCAGCTCTCCGACAGCTGAAACGAGAGGAAGCGACTTCGCTGTGAGGTCGGGTAGGCCCGGCCACCAACTGCCGCTGCCATTCCCGTCCCGCCCGCCGCCGCGCGGCCCGCGGACGACAGCCGGCAGACTCAGCAGAAGCCCCGCCGCCGAACCTGCGCCGCCCACCCGGGACAGGCAGCCCAGGTGCGCCTTCTGCTCCTCCGACAGCACCAACAGCATCGCCGCTCCCGGGGACAGGAAGGGGCGGGGGGGGAGGCGGGCGAGCCGGAAGGGCGCGGCGTCCCGCCCACGGCTCAGGGCCCGCCCAGCCGCCCCGCCAAGCCGCGTCACGCGCCCGCGCCTGAGCGACGTCCGGCTGGAGCAATGGGATGCCGCGGGCAGGCGCGGCCCTTGGGGGCGGGACTTCCGCCGCGGCCCTTGGGGGTGGAACTTCCGCCGCGGCCGCTGGGCGGAGGTGAGCGCGCCATGGAGGCGGCCTAAGTGCGGTTCTCGGCTCCTGGCGCCGGGCCTTGTGCCGGCCCCACAGGTGAGGGGTTGTAGGCTGCAGGGGCGGCTGCCGCGTTCCCCGGCTCCTACCCGCCGCGCGGCGCCCCGGCTTTGCGGCCGTTCGTGCGGCGCTGAGCCCGCCGCTCGTTGCGCAGCGCCTATTCGCTTCCGCCCCGACCGCCCCGCCTCGCGGTATCGTTGCGGCTCCGGGCGGCGCCTCGCGGTCGGCCGGCGGAGGGAGGCCGGACGGGGCACGAGCGCTCTGCGGGTCGCTGCCGGGCTGGGCGCGGGGCCGTATCGTAGCTCCTCGCGGCCCGGCGCTGCGGTGAGGCGGTGGGGAGGGGCACTGACTGCAGGAGAGTGGCGGCGGGGAGGAGCGGTGCTGCGGCGGCCGGAGCTGAGCGCGAAGGGCTGTCTGTGTGAGGCGGGTTTGGGTCCTGTCAGCCTCGGGTGGGGGAGGTGGAGGTTGGTGATGATGGGCTGCCGTTGGGTTGTAGAAAGCCGCGGCGTAGGGTTATCCGAGATACACGTGAGAGCTGTGATGGCGGTTGTGCAACCGTGTGCTGCGCTGCTGGGTTTTGGAAGCCTCGGACAGAGCAGTCTGCTGAAAACGCGGAAAACGCCGTTGCTGTGTTTGTGGTGGGGCGGACTCTGATGCGTTCTCTCTGGGCGTTGTAATCCTGTGCAGCACGGAGATGGAATTTCAGGCTATTCAATGTAGATCTGTTTTTTTTCTGCTAAATGGTTAAAACAAGTATTTTCTTAAGAACTGAGGCGTGATCATAAACGTATAGGCAGGGAATTGCGCTTTGCTGCCTTTTACTGTGAAAGAAACTGGACTGAAAAATGTGTTTCTGGACATTTATGTTTACGCGTGCTTAGAGCATCTCTGTTTGAGAATAGTCGGCAGGAGCTCCGAGTGCTCTGTCAGCTCAGCGTCCAGCACCAAATCATTTCTTGATGCTCCCGCAGCTTGTTGGTGCTGGCAGGTGTGACGCGGTGCTTTTGACAGAGTGCAGGGACTGCAGCTACAAGAGCATTTTCCCCTCAGGTTACACGTTCTGATCTGGGAATCAGCTTGTTGGTGTTTAAAGATGTTATTTGTAACACAGTGAGATCCTTGTTAAAATGAGAAGCAATATTGCGCTCTCTGCTTCCATGAAAAGTTTTATTAGAAATATATTATCCATTGTGAAGTCAAAAATACTGCTTCTGCCTTATTTCTATGGGAAGTGCCTTGGCTGATGTATTTGAAGTTCATGTAGGAGCTTCATGGCCACTGTGGTGCCCTCAGCACATTGCCTCCCCACTCCGGACCTGATGGTCCTGTTCCATCAGGAGGAGGTGTGCAGCTCCTCAGGCTCAGTGTGTTTTGCAAGTTCTGGAATGCAAAGTGGGAAGCAGTCTGAAACTCCCACAGTTACATAATGAGAACCCTGTCTAGAAAAACACGTGTAGGCACTCCGAATTAATGCAAGAGAAGTTAAACTTCATTTGTGTAGTTTGCAGCTAGTGTTTAATTGCATATGCTTCTATTTCTGTATGGTGTAAGTTGCTTTACTCAAATAAAGACTGTGGTCTACAAATGAGCTGTGAAGTTTCCTGAAGCATAGGGCTTTTTGAGATGTGTTTGAGGCAGTAATTCTTGGGCTCAGAAGAGTTTGTGTGTAACTGGTTGATGGAGAGGGCTATATGTGTTTTTTGTTAGCATGAGCAACTTTATTTCTGTTATTTTGTAATGATACTTAATGCTGTTTTAGTGCTTTCTGTATGTATGATACTGTGATAGTTTCAAGTGTCTGGTTACTTCTGTCATTAAGACAGTTACCATTTTTTGGATGGTTACCCTTTTGCTCTTCCAGTTTCACAGATGTTCCTGTTGCTGGGGCTGACAGATTTGGGAAGCCAGAAAATTGTAATTCAGAAATAAAAAGTCACATATTTTGTAATTCATTACAAGTTCCTTTGATTGTAACTTCTGTTCTTCTAACCAGTTAGAAGTTTCACAATGCATCATGTGTCTGAATGGCAGCTAGTCATTGTCTCTTTATAGATTGGATTGTGGCCATAGCAATATTACTAGAAGAAACTGTCAGCTGAAACTTGTCTGGGGGGAGCAGAGGTTGTGATCTTTGGTGTCAAGTTCTGCTTTTGCAGGGAAGGGCATCTAGAAGAGAGGCTGGTTCTTCCCTCCTGCTTCTAACCACCATTGGCTGTGCATGTAGTCGTGGGGCTGTGACTGAGGACACATTTTCTGGGAGGCAGTGATGATCAGGCGGTGCCCTCCTGGCTGACTGTAGTACAGGGTGATGGGGGAGGCTGAGTGGGGGTCATTCCCCATTGCTCTTCCTTATGCTAAAGAGGTTTGTTTTAGGATGGTCGTCTTTGAAGAAAAATGGGAAAAAAATTAAGCTAAAAATATGTTGGCCCCTTCTTCTAGTAGCGTTGTTTGGAATGAACTTCCTGATGGAGTTCTGTCGTTCCTTTTGAAGTTTGTACCCAGCAGATGGTGTCAGTGGTCTGGTTGGATTGCAGTGTGGAATCGGTGGTTCTGCTGCACCTGGTTGGATTGTAAGAGGGTGAGGTGCAGGAATGAAAGCAGTTGTGGTCTCTGAAACGTTCTGCAGACAGCAGTGTTGTTATAATACAGCTATAATAAGTTATTTTATAATCCAAATCTAGAAAACATCCATCAAGTCAAAACACTCCTAAAGCATTGTAAAATGCTTGTATAGATCAGCTTTCTTTGAAGTAGATCGTGTATCACCAGCACTTCAGTGAAATTGTCCACTGATGATGAGTTCTATTTTGCCAAATGAAAGTTGAGAAAGTACAATGTTTAGCAAAGTCATAAAATAAGTGAGGAGGCAGAGAAACCAAACACTGATTTAATTATATATATATGTATAATTTTTGTACACTGGCATGGCAGTAAGCCAGCCTTTGTTTTGGGAGCACTGCACAGGGAGGAAGCCTCTCACATGCAATTTATAGGGCTGGGGAAGGAGCTCGGGCAGCTGGCAGTCCCTCGTGCAGGCTCTGCTTTCTGCTCCCTGGAAATGTCAGCTCTTCTCTCAGCCGCCCATCCTGAAGTTCAGCTTGCTCAACAGCGTGCATCAAAGCTGTGTCAAGCCACACATAACTGCATGCAGTGGGAAAAACATAAAACAGTAGGAATCTTTGAAGTAAAAAGTATTAAAAGGTGCATCTCGTGTAAAGTTGAGGACTGAGACGTGAGGAGGTACTGCATTTGTGGCCAGTGGTGCGCCTTCCGTGTGCCCGTGTGCCCTTTGTATGTCAATAACTGGATTGTTTGATCGCAGTCTTGTTTTTTTTTCCCCACGTAACCCTGTTTTGTTCAGTGCAGGGCAGTGTGCTCTGAAGTGCTGAAGTCAGTTATGGAGGACAGAAACCTCCTTCTCCCCCTTGCCCTCCTGCCAAGTTTTTGGGTGCTTGATTTTCCAATGTAGATAGCAGAATTTTCAGCTTACTGTGAATGAATCTCATACAGTCGCCTCTAGATGATATTACAGACCAAAAAAGTGGCAGTGGGTTACTGGCCCACAGCATTGAGCACTTTGGATGAAAGCTTTCCAGAGGCACCGCTTCTCACTGTGTGTGAAGGGATTTATCAAATACCGCAGCTTTGGTCCACGTTACACGTTTGTGTTTTTGTGGGGCTAATAGGATGAAGTCGGTGACTTCAGCAGGGAAGCAAGTATCATTGCTGGTGCAGGAAAGGCTTACAGGCTCTTGTTTTGCATTTTTAATATTTTTGTGGGTAAGCCATATTTGTATGGCAAGGCATAATACCAAAATGATGGCTTTATTTCCTCTTA